TGTACTCTCTAAAAATTAATCAGTGCATCATTACTGTAAATCAGTGAATATTCATTGTTTTCAGTAATAAACCACTTAGTGATTTTTAGAGAGTAACCCTTCAGGGTACTTAAGCCCCTCCACCACGACAAGGTAGTACCCGAGGAGGGGATTATCAACAAGAAACTGTGCAATTACATATGTGTATATATAGAAAAATGAATATTGAATGAACATAAATTAGTGTTGCTATTTAATGCACGACGTGAGAGAGATTCATCCAATCGAAAGATTAATTCGCACTCTCGATCTTGGGACAAAATCAATTTTCTTGGAATTTATCAATAATGCCTCATAAACTAATAATCCGAGATGAGCCATTCTTATCTCGTTAGAAGCGCTGAAATCTTAGCTTTCCAACGAGACCAGGATCATCTTCCTACGATTTTTCTGTGCCAAGTTATTGACGATTATATCGACTCGCGATCTTAATCCTGACAATGAGATAGAAGCAGCAGACGACGCGGCGTCTCCCGCGGCGTCTCGCGCGGCGGTGTACTACCGAACCCCTGGGCCTCGTATGTTTTGATGCCAGTTTTTTGGGGACGTAGTAAGCTCGCGTAATACTTACGTAATACTCGCGCGGCCTTGTCTAATGAATGGGTGCGCGCGCGCCCGATTTTTAAAACGCTATAACTCGGCGAAAAATCGACGTAGCGACATGAACCAAAAACCAATCTTCTTCGTTTCGCATCCCGCAGATGTCTAAGTTGAATATGTATGCCCTTATCATAAAACTTACACACGACAATGGAATAAAAAGTAAAATTCTGAAATATAAATTATACGTATAACTGCTAAATATAAAAATTGGCTGACGAACTATAGTATATTAGACTGTATAGCAAGATTGCCCAATAAAATTGTAATATTGAATATAGAAGAAAGGCTAATGTAATGCCAATGTTACGTATCAATAATGGCACGGTATTGCATTATTTCCCAGTACTACACTAATACCTTGTGGCACCCGGGCTCTATCGACACGTTATATTATAATTCAACTACGGATTTAATATTTTTATTTTTATTGCAAGAAACCAACTGCAAAGTAACGATTCGTTACTTTTTGAGTAACTGTAACGCGTTACTTTGCAGAATTAGTAACTTGTAACAGTAACTAGTTACATTTTTAGTGAAAAAACTGTAACTGTAACTAGATACTTTTATAAAGTAACTTTCCCAACCTTGTATTTTTACTATTATAATTAAATATTTACTAATTTCATTGCTCATATAATCCCCGAGGGGATTATCGACAAAAAACCGTGCAATTACATACCTATATGTATATTTAGAAAAATGAATATTGAGTGAACATAAATTAGGTTTGCTTAAGGAATAAGTGTTAAACGCTAATGTTATACTCGTAGGTATACTTGATAAATGATGTCCCGTGACTCTTAAGATTTAAATCGCTAAACTCGTATATTGACCACGATGAAGCAACTTTAACGTAGGAGCCGAAAAATTGCGTGCCGAAAAGTGAAAGTTTTAGAAATCCATAGTTCTGACAGGAGTTTCCTATACGCCCGGACAAATCCTATCGATTTCTCTTAAGACTTGAAGCGCTAGAGTCATTATTGACAAAGATACGGCCACTTTAAGTGGAGGAGACGAAAAATGAAAAATCCCGAAAAGTAAAAATTTTCGAAATTCGCAGTTCTGACTATTATCTTAAGATGCTAATATGACTGGGTTTGCCCTTTCTACACCTATAAAAATGATCTTACTTTTGTGGCTCATCCGAGAGAATAGATACACGGGCAAAAATCGCCGTGCCAGAGAGAGAATCGTTTATAGACTCAGGTACCGTTTTTACATAAGAAGACGGTTAAAAATTATAGTAAAATCGTACAAAAATTATAATACTTTAGTACGATGGTTATGCTCAAATGTCTGTGTAAATTTTTCCATTTGGACAAGCCACAAGCAGGCATCCTTATGGCATTTATCTTCGTTGGATCTTAAGAACACATACTCTAATCAGACTCACGAATTTTTCATCAGTTGCAATGTAGTTTTGTCTGCTGAACGCAGCTATAAGGGAGAAGGCAGTCGTTATGCTGGCGATCTAGGGAGTTCTGAAATCATGCTGATTCGCAACGCCATCACATCCATTTTATTTTATCATGGCCGTGGGAACTTTGTAGCCACATCTATTCGCAGGATAGTAAACCGCTTTTTGGTTTATAACGTATCTGCTACCGTTTCAATATTACAGAGGTTACAAGTTTTCAAAAGTATATACAGAGAAGTTAGAAACTTCAAACTTAAATAAAATAAAATGGTGAGAGATAGAGAGTCGAAGTTTCAATAAAATTTGTAGCTCTGAGCGTGTCCTACACGGTGCCGCGAACGGAATCTTCGTATCTTCTACCGTTTCGGAATTACAGAATTTAGAAAATTCTCAAATTAATAAAAGATAGACATTTTAAACTTAAATAAAATAAAAACGGTGAGAGATAGAGAATCAAAGTTTAAGTAAAATTTGTAGCCCTGAGCGTGACCTACACGCTGCCGCAAATGGCATGCCACTGATTGTACATGTTTAAAGCGTTTAATCACCTTTCCCAAGTATCTTATTGTTAGATAACTTAGTACACTATTGTAACGACAATAAGCCAAGTCCTCTTTGAAACTTCGCCAAGGCTCTTTACAGTTCGAAGCCGTAGTAAGCTCCTGTGATAACTGCTCTCACAATAACGTTGCAGTCATCGGTATACTAAGTACTCTGATAACGTGAGATGTTACCGCAGGATGGTGACACCCTACGTACGTTCTAGAGTGTCGGTCGATGACGAGAAAACGTTACCGCATTACGGTAAAATTGTACATTGCATTTGTAATTTTTCCGTAAAAACCCGGAGAAAAGAATATTTAAGGATAATGTTCATTTTGAGACATACTCATCTTCGACCTTGAATATAATTGTATCGGATTGCCTGTAGCGTTGCAAAGTTGAAACCAAAAGAAAGGATAAAAAGTTCTTCATTTTCTTTTATAAATGTAATAATTTTAATGTCGCTTGCTATCTACAACATTATATTTATATTAATATGTACTGCAGATTTGTGTACTCATAAATGAGAGGTTTGGAGAGGGAGAGAGGTTTGTAATTTATATCCTGAATTTATCAAGAAATACGCTTCAATCAAGATAAAAATAATAACCACCCATTTTCGTGGAAAGCAAATAACGATTAAGCCGAAATTGTGTGAGGCTTAGTTAGGAGACTAGTAGTGTCATCAACAGACGTAAAGGCTTCGCGAAGCGTAACATTATGAAGGAAAGTAGTGGTTGAAGCAATTTCGCTGTCACAGGCGATATCACGAGGCTAGATAAATCTCCCGACACTTCCGCCATACCTCGTTTTGTAAACCATTTCGACCTAATTATCCGCAATAAGTGACAAAGCACGAAATGTATATCTCATATCTCGGCTTTTTTATCAGACGAACGATATCTCAAAAACTTGTTTTTAGGAGATCGTGATTATTCAAAGAGATCTATTTGCAATTATACGAATTTTATCTATAAGGGAGAAACGAAAAATAATTTAGGGCCAGTTGTTCCAACCTACTGGTAAATTAACTAATTGTATGTGTCTTTGTTTTTCCTTCAAATTAAACACGGTACTTTGCAGAAGTTAGAGACTCCACGCCAATTTTAGCGCACACAAACATACGCACAGACATTTTGGTCTAAATGTGATTTTTGGAACATTTCTAATACATTGGCAAAGAAGCCTGAGAATCCATTTTTTTTCACGAAAACGAAGCTTTCTCTGTAGTCTACTAAGAGTTTGAAAACATAGACCGTTAGGCTCGGTTTTTCATTTTCTGGTCAGCTGTTAAATCAGAGGTTAGTCGACTCTTTTTCTATATTCTTATATAAGAAGAGACAGGTAATCGACTAATCTCTGGTTAATATTTAACCAGAAAATGAAAAATCAGACCTTAATTATTTAATTATGCGTTTTTTTTCTTAAAGTATTTGGCTATGTTCTCAATTGTTCGAATAATAGTCGTTTAAGTGATAAATGAACTTCTATTTTTATATTGTAAAAGATGTTAAATTAGTCCAAGTCGATTTAAAAATTTATCGTATCAACACCAAGTAAAAATCTGATAAATCGGCGAGTTTGACGTCGAAAAAGATTCGTATGTACTTAATGCGGTTACAATTTTTTTACACTCGTTTGCTCTCAAGATGTCGACTCAGCAACCATATCGACGATTTTCCGACTCTCAAGATCTCGACTTGGCTCGAATTTTATCTCGTCAAACTGTCACTCTGCAGCTAGTCGCGTTCCAGCGATTCGCGGTCAAGTATCACTTTTCGACTAATCGTGATACATTTGCTACATAAAATTCAATATAAAGTAGTACAAATAGTTAAAATCTTTATTAAACTTTCAAAATTTAAACGTCATAACTAAAATTCAAAATAACACGCATCTTGTTCGATGGACTGGTCCACACATAGATTCGTATAACTGTTTCACCTGCGCAAAAATCATTGTATCCGTCCTCACGTACAATTTATAAATTACCTGGAAAACATAACCGAGTAACATCAGTCGTGATATAAATTATGCTACGGATTTTATTTTCCATTTCTATGGAGAATATTATTATTTATCAATGCGCGCAATTTTTCATTTCAAAGTCAAAGCGCAGAATACGAGATGCTGAAAAACTCGATCGCTTTTAAAACACGATCTGAAAGGCTCCGGCAAACTCGCGCCGCTCGGGCGAGAGTAAAAAAAAAATACGTCGTTAATGCGTGCACGTGTCCTCAATTATTTTACAAATGCCACGCAATCAAGCTGGCAGCAGACTGCGTCGTTGGTGCACATGGAGCCGGGGCTCCGCGAGTCCGTCTGACGAAGGAAATGAGCGGACGGAGCTTAAGGGGCCGGTCTGCGCAAGCACAGGTGCAAGTTCGAGGGTATAAAGAGGAGAAGCTCGGGCTCGCGGTGCGCACTTTGTGTTTCATCTGTCCGTCATACAGATCGCACGATCGCATCGGTCTCGATATACGCACGTTTTACTCTTTCGCTCTCTCTCTCTCTCTCTCTCGCGACGACACTTAATTCCCTGCTGCATTCGGTTGCTTCGTGCGTCGCCTCCTCACGTCTTGGACGGGATTTCTCGACAAGTTGGACTCTCTTTCTGCACGGCGACATATAATAAGGTGAGTTTTTGGGTTTTCCTGCTCCTTTCTCTTTCGCATAACTTCGTCTAGTACAAAACTTTACAGTGACGTTAAATACACTGAAACTTCGGATGAAACTACTTTACCTCGGTTGCGGCTCGCGTTATCGCGCTATTATCACTTCTCGGAAGTGAGAAAATTGTTCATTCGTGTTCTACACTGATATCCGTTAATACGGATAAAATTTATATCCAATTCGCATCAACATTCCGTGTAAAGTAGGAGAATATTAATATAGTATAATGTATAAAAAAATTCTATTTGTTTCGCGCGACATTCTGTGAAGTGGCTAGATATATCGCGCAGAATAATTATTAGTGCCGCAACGATCTCGCAGTGAAACACGCCGTGTCCATCGTAATCGTTGACAGCCGGAGGTGTAAGGGCTTGAATGCAGATTGAATGCAGATCGAGATTCGTCGAGGTTTAGCGCAATTGTTGTCGTTAATTGCCCGTTAATGTAAACGGGAACGGGCGTTGGATTCGTTCGATTGAGCTAAATAGATTTGCATTGGTCCGTGCGTAGTGTGTGTGGTCATTGGACTTAATGAAATATCGTCGCGTTTAAACGGAAAATTAGTTAAAAAAAAACAAGTAATATTCAAATAATTAAATTTATACTATTTTTTCGTCACTTAACGCGCACTGCATATGTGTGTGAAAAGACGCGAGAGAGAGAGAGAGATCGTTTATTAAAAAATTTTATACGAGAGATATAAAATAATTAACGCTGCAATGTCCGCATTCTTCATGCAAATTGAAATTGAAACTGATATAATACAACAAGATCTATGAAATATGCATGTGAACTGTGAAATATTTGCATTTACTGTTTTGAACATATTTATGCACGAACATAACACGTAATTTCTACTATCGTTTCCGCATGTAGAGCTATTATGGCTTTTAAAAAAATGTTATACAATACAAACAGTAAAATGGTTGGCAATAATGAATAAACAAAAGTAATTAATATTGCGATGTCCACATTTTTCATGCGGATTAACGTAAAATTTTCATTAAAACTGATATAGTAAAACGATATCTGTGAAATATACCGTGAAATTGCATTAACTGTTTTAGACATATGTATAATACATAGTACATAATTTTTATTCTCATTTCTGCATGCAGATTCTTTACGACGTTTTCATCAGCGCTCCGCGATCTTTCTTGAATTAATTTATGGATGCTCAGTTTTATTTACGCTGTTCACGAGGCCGAGGCAGAATTTGAAAAAAAATTGTCGGCGAAATGAAAAAATAAAAAATTGAATCTTCGCTTTCCATAAATTCATATGCAATTTGTTATATTTCGATGCGGTTAAAGCAAAATAGTGATTGAATGGACTTTTGCAGTATTTCATTGCAACGACTGTATTGTCGTATGTGCGCGTTCTACGACAAAACTGCATAGAAAATTTTACGTGACGTAACAAACTGCTTTTATTGGCATGTCATGTCTATAGATTGTGTTGTTAATTCGACATTTGATTTCAACGTAACGCTCTGCTCTTCGACGCGGATCGAGTGACGAGAATCCAAATACTTTAGCGAAGTTTGATACCTCTGTGTGGCGACCTCGAGTGACTAGCCTAGAGAGAGATAGAGGCAGAGAGAGACAGAGGCAGAAATTGAGAGAGAGAAAGAGAGGGGGTGGGAGAGAAGGACACTACAAAGGTGCACCAGTGTTATTTGAAGCTTCAATTACACCAAATGCGTGGTTTCCATGGGTCTATTTACATACGCCGTTTCTTTACCATTTTTTTACGGCGCACAATAACGTTGCGAAAACGAAGAAATAAATGCGTACAAAGAAAAGCGAAGATAAAACGCAAATTTTTATCTTATAATTGGTATTATCGTAAAGCAGATGCAGTAGGTATTATCGAAATCGTGCCTCTTTGGAAAGACTATTTCCCAAAAGTATTAAAATTAAAAAAAAACATTAAATTCACATCCGCAATCCATTTTTTGACAATTTTTTTTCACGAGTAAGAGAGAAAGAGTATATTTTTCAGATTTCTGCTGAACCGTCCACTTTTGTCAGTCATGATATCTTAGGTCAGTTCATAGAGCAAAATCGTTATGTTATCTTCGATTTTCCTCCCTCGATTTCTGCGTCGTTTGATATATGGTACTTCTCTATAATAATGCACGCCGATGGAAGAAGACATTTCATTTTTTATGATGCAATTACTACGCACGTGTGCGTTCACCGCCGCAAAATCACTATTTGATTATCGATAGGGTGCTGTGATATTTTATACATTGCTAACTATAGACAAGGCGAGCAATGGTGCGTACAGCATTAAAATTTGCGGGCTTGAGCGTGAATATTAATTGCACAAATGAATGGCATTAATAAATCTCATGGCACCGTTAATTAATCTAGTTCATAATGGCAGACGATCAAACCTAGATAAATTCTTTGCAAATTACATTTATATGTGGTTCTCACGGTTAATAGACAATTAATTCTTCATTAAGTGCGCTTACTGAGAAATGTGAAAGCAAGATTTTGACTGGACAATAAGAGTACAATCGATTACATACAGTATCTTAGCGCGATTCTTCAACTTCGTGCGATAAAAACATATCGTTCTCTGACAAAATCCCGTCTGGCTGCCGTAAAATTGTTAAGACCGATTTTATGTCCTACCACAAAATGGATCCGATTTGTATACACGTTATACTATCAACCAATCGATAATAATCGATATTAAATTTACGAGATGTTTTTTGTCGAATAGCAAAATAAACTATTGAAATTCTAGGGGTGTATCCATGAGTGCTTTCGGAAAGCTGTCATTTCTTAACCACTTAACGAATTCTTGCGAACTTTATATGAGTGTTAAGGAAGGATAGAATTTTTACACGCGCAGAATTCTTTGGTATAGTCGTGGTCATAAAGGTTGTCCGACAGCGAAATTTCGCAAATATAGTATATCGTGCAAGAGATTGTAGCTTTTGCTCACGGATATACACAGTGACGCATTAGAGCAAAGGAATGATATGTAGGGGAAAGTTGCCGAATACGTACTAGTCACCTAATGCGTGTCTCATCAATATTTCATATTATTATTTAACATAAGTACCATTTAGTAATAACAGTATGAAATCAACGAGAACTAAGTATTATAGACAAAAATATTAACATGATACATTTATTTTGTGAATGCTAACAACATTTAAAAAATTCAGGTATAACTGATGTTAATGTTTGATCAATTTACGTAACTGTTATAATGTAACTACGCTATTTTATTATAAATTTTTATTTGTTCATAAAAAGAGGTTTCTTGTAGAATAATAAATACTGTAAAATAATATTTTACATTTTTGCATATACATATTTACAATTATTATAATAACTAAATAAATATGTTTATAAAATCCATCAAGTTTCCTAAATCGCATCACGAGGTTTCCTCTCTCGTACGTCGATACGATTTTATAAGAAATAAACGATATATGTAAGAGTGATACAATTAATATAAATATCAATGTAAATTGCAAAAATAACTTTAAGCAACTTGTATTTTAACGTCCTTTCCATTATCGTTAATGATTATTTTTAAGTTGTTAAATATGTGATTTTTTAGATAAATTATTAATAAAATAAGTATTATGTATATATAGTTAATGCTTTCTTATATCAATCTTGTACTGTCTACTCGACTTTTTATTATTTTTACTCGTAAATTTGACTATTTCAAGGAGGTACGATTTAGGCAACCGGTTTCGTAATTTGTTAATAGGGAAATGTTAAACATACAATAATGGATGCTTGAAACATCAAACTACAATTTCCAAGGGTTGTTTGCGTACAAATTAGTACCAAATGGGATATATAATAAATAATGCTTTAAGTAGTAAACGTTCGGCAACTCTCCCCTATGAATATCTATGCAATGATACTTCCGAAAACTTATTTTAAAACGTCGGACACTCTTTCTGACCATGTTTCCGACTAAATTTCATAATTTTCTGACAAGCGGTGATGATCTATTTATTACACTCTTAAGGTTAAAATGTGTGAAATTTTTCGTAAAAAAAGAATCGAATAATGATGTGAATCGATTCTCGCAACTTTCGAACTGCTTGTAGGAAAATTACTAAATTCGATATAAATTGTTAGTCAACAATTGAAAAGAAAAATAATTACGTCTCAAAGAAAGTTCTACATGTGCTTACATAAAAAATTTCCAATTTTTCGATTTTGAGTCCTGATTAAATGCCTTCAAAGACGTTTACGATTATCATTAGTAGCATAAGATAAAAATTTAAATCCTTCCTTAATACTTTCGTTTAAAGGTCACAAGAATTGGTCAAGTGGTTTAGAAATTATAGCAGCTTTCCAAAAGTACTCACAATTTACCGATACATCCTGTATACACATCTATAAATATGGTATAGGTATAAATCAGTTATATATAAATGAGAAGAAATTCTCTCTCTCTCTCTCTCTCTCTCTTTCTCTCTCTCGTTACCAGATTTCTGAGAATACGTTACTTTTCATCGGGGGAGAGAAAAATCATGACATCTGCACGCGTGGTCATTAATATGTAAATGCAATCGATCAATTTTACATATCGTCTCGCAATATCCTGCTCAATCATTAAATATTACTATCGCTCTGTCGTCATTTAGATGGCCCGTTAAATCTTTATGAAAATATATCGGGATGTATTATCCGATACTACACGAAATCTAATATTGCCGGTGCACGTGTAACTTTTGTTTCGTATATCCGAACGTGATATAACTGTGACCCGTCCATTTATGTTCTCGGTGTACAAAGCGGCACGAACTCTACTGTGAAAAAGCGTACTAACAGTATCGGCTATTTAAATATCCGCGTATGTACGCACGTGTGTCGTTCGGATGCACCGAATACGTAAACGTGATAGGCCTCGGCGTTATTATTCTTTGAAATTTCGCGGTGGCTAATGAAATTATGGCGTGATTCATTTTCGT